TCTTCTTTACAGGATTCAAAAAGCCTACTTCAGTTAGGAAGCCTACACAGACAGGTGTATTTTTGTTTATGTTTATAACATTTTTTATCTTTGTAATAAGATGGAGCTACAGACCAAAAAATTAATTAATATTAAAAAATAAATTTAAATAATTAAATTAAAATTAATAAAAATTATTTTTGTAACCTTTAGAGTATCTTTATAAAAAGGTAACTTTGCAACAAAACTGAAACTACAATTCAGCTAACTTTTCAATGAAACACAGTTCTTTTTCTACTACTATGCATACTTAATAATAATATTAAAATGCAGTTATGAATTATTTGTATTTATTAAGAATTTCCCTTGCTCAGCATCCTAAACCAGGCCCTGACTTTTAAATTAAAAAATTTATTTTATCGTGGTAAGAGCACTTAACACAACATCTACTCTTTTCACACATTTTTTATGTGGATAAAAGTTACTGCCCATTGCAGGCATAGCTAATTCATCTTGCTAGCTGGAACTTTATGCCTGTGGGCTAGCAATCCTTCTTTCACCCCCAGCAACTAGCAACCATTTTTCTTACTTTTTAAGTCTATGACCATGACTATTTTAGGTTCTACTTGTGGTGTCATCCAGAACTTGGTCCTTATGTCGCCAACTTACTTCATTTAGCATAATGTCTTCAACTGTAACATTAAGTTACATAGATTTCCTTATTTTATTCTGGAAAGTTTATTTAAAAGGTCCTGTGATCTTCTCTGCTTAATACTGGAGTGAGCTAAGCCTTAGGATGGCTAAGTAACTGTCTGAGGACAAGCAGATAGGAAATGGTTAAGCTGGAACTGGAACTCAGGTTCCTTTGCTATCAGTGGCTGCTGACTTCTCTGCCCCCTTGCCCCTGAAGTTTTTTCAGATTGACAATGATGTCCTCTATGAAGTCCTTTAAAACTGTTCCTTTAATGACTATAGAAAAAACAGATGAAGGTACCTCAGAAACCCCTCTAGCTACTTAATCACAGCCTTCATTTTTGCTTTTAAAAAGTTTCAAGGAAAAGAGATTGTCATATCTAACACTTTGAGACTTTGACAACCACCCCTGCCCTGGGGCCTCTCCTTTAAAATGCTCCCTCACTTGTTCTACAGTCAAAGCAAATGCAATGTGGGTAGCGCTCTGCCCAGTGTCTTGTGTGAACTCAAACATCCTCAGGTCTATGTGTATGAGTATAATAAATGTAAATCCTCCTCTCTATTACTATTTTTTAAGCTCAGGCCTTCCAGTATTTTTCCTTTTAAACGTCTTTTAAATAATCATGCTTATATTAGTAATTCTGGGCTTTCCCAGCACTGTTTGCACACAGAACTCAAGTTGAAGCCCCCAGCAACTCTATCATACTTGGGCAGTAGTAATACCAGTAGAGGCTGGTATTCTGGTTCTTTTACTGCCCTACATGACTAAGTAAAATAGTACTCACTTGGAGTACTGTGACGCTGGGTAGGGATTCCAGCATTGTGCAGGTCCCCCTTCCTCAGGCCTCTGGTTAGACTCTGACAGTGATGGCGTGGTGTTGAGAGGGGACAGTCTTCTAGATGCCAGCCTCGTTTGAGCCAAGCAGCTTGCCTCTTCGTAATAGATAAGAGCTGGCATAGAAGTTTTTTAGGAACCATGGAAGAGGTATAGGTACTAAGAGAAAAGCCTAGAAGCTCTAGAATAAGACTCCACTGTGAGTCCTCAAGGTAGGCAAGACATCTGATTTCTGCTTGGGAGTAAGACCTAACCGTACAGAGTATGGCGGTTCTGATATCAACAGGATTCTAAGAAAAGTGCCTAATATGAGTGGTTTATGAGGGGCCACTCAGCAGCAAGGAACCATTTCTACTTAGGCTATTAATGGGGGTAAGTTCCAAAGATGTATCAGGACTGTGACTTTGAAGTACAGAGGTGAGAATAGTCACTTACTATCCTTGGGATAGTTTCTTTTGGGTAGACTTCAATTTCACTCAAGCCTGGGGCAGTGTTAAGGGACATATGGATACATTCCACATCATAGCAGTAACCTGAAGACTAAGAGGTGCCATTGCCACCACTCAGGTTCACGGATGTTTCTATTTTTGATTATATTCTGTTAGAAGCAGCTAATTTTAGAGAATAACTTCAAGTCTTCTGAATATCAAGAAACATTCCACAGGGACCTGCCTATCTGTGTTTGTCTTTCAGCACCTTCCAGTGAGCCTGACATGGAGCAGCATTCTGCCGGCCTGGGCTGGTACACAGTTTGGCCTGGAGTGGAAACAGTGTGCAGTAGCAGACTTAGGTATGGCCACACATGAGAGAGATCTATCAGCTCAGGGTGCATGAGAAATGGATACACTAAATAGAAAATAACCAGGCTAAGTGTGGACTTGTGGAGATGAGAAATGAAGAGGCTGGCAAGGACCCAGGAAAGCAGATGTGAGGCTAACATAGTGATTCATGGATGGATGGAGAGAGAGAGAGAGAGAGAGAGAGAGAGAGAGAGAGAGAGAGAGAGAGAGAGAGAAAGAAAGAAAGAAAGAAAGAAAGAAAGAAAGAAAGAAAGAAAGAAAGAAAGAAAGAAAGAAAGAAAAAGAAAGAGAAGATGGTATGTCATGCATGGGCAATGGGGACTTGGAGGGTGCAGGACAGTGGTATGTTTAGGGCCCTGAGTAACATGGTCCAGAGAAAGACAAGGATCAAACAGAAGCGACACTGTCTTGACAGGACTCACTGTTTTCTTCTCAGGTGGAATGCTGGTAATTAAGTCTATTCCAAGGAACAAAGCATGTGGATTAAGGGAGCACTTTCTCATAAAGGGAGCTTTTAAATCTCAGTTCCCTACCAATGCCCATTCAGCCACCTTCCTTTGCACCAAGAATAAATCCTAGCTCCTTTCATGGCCTTGCATAGCATCCATGCAGTCCCTGTAATCATGCAGGTCTGGCCACACTAACCTCCTCTGAGATGCTGTCCTCCCTTCCCATTGAGCATTTTGTTTCTGTGAGGTCTAGTCTTCTGTGGACCCTCAACTCCAAGGGCACGTTTTCCAAGAGGCCTCTGCAAATCAGTCTAGCCAAGCTTTTGCAATGTGGCCTTGGAGTGGCCTTCCATGACCAAAACATGTATTTTATAGAAAGAGTCTAGGTTGCTTGTTGTCTACTGCCTGTCATAAGGTTACATACACATGATCGGGAAAATTTGCCAACATATCCATGAATTAGTGAATAAAAATGAATGGAACCTGACTGGCACATGGTGGGTTCTTGGAATTATAATTACCTGTTTGTTGCCTTAAATTTATAATACGGTACAAGACTGTAACATGGAAAGACAGATGTTTCCCTTTGAGTGGTCCTTCTTTGCCTCACCATAATTAAAATGGAAAAGCACTAGGTTTTTAGACATGGTGTGACGTGCTCTGGGAGGTAGGCTGTGGATTTTCTGTAGTTGTGGAGAAGGCTATGTAGCAAATATTTGCTCACATATGGCATTTCAGGGTCATCTCTCTGACCCATGGAGACTGATTGAAACTTTCCTTCAATTTGTACACACATCATAGAGAACCATACATAAATAGAAATTCAACAGCTCCAGCAAAATTCCTAAAGAGAGGAAAAATGTCAGAGTAAGCAGTAAAAAATGTGCTTGGTTTCTTAAATGTAGAAATGGCAATTTGCAGCATTTATATAAATTGCCATGTTCTGAGGGTTGCAGCTTGGAGACTGAACAGGGAGTAAAGCTGCATGCAGCTAATAGCAAATCTGGTGACGCATGCTTTGGAAGTGAAGGCTTAGTCAGTACTGTGGCACCATTGTGGCAAGAGGGCATGACATTGGCTAGAGGGCTTTGCATGAGGGCCGACACGTCTCGTGTTGGTTTTCATGGAAAATCACTCCAGCTGCATTCTCTCATATTTGGGGCATATGAATTTGCTGACATCACTGTGGCTAATGATGAGATGGATGTGATGGGGGCTTCCTTAAAATTTTCTGAGCGGTCTCTGATTTCTGCATGTACACTGAAATGTAAGTTCAGTTGAATATACAAGTACGTTTAAAAGGAGTTAGACAAATTAGAAAGTGGGGATCTGGAATGGCACAGTAAGAAAGAAAAATTTCATTTTAAAACATACACAGTAAGTTTCCTGCAACATCATTGCTTTGATGTGAAGCAGGTTGGAGAAGAGCAATACCGTGCTGGCGTCTTTATGCATTTGTAGTTTGCCTTCTTTTCTCCTCCCTGCACCATTGTGCTCAGTATTTCTGTTGATAAACACCTAATGTATGTGCCTTTTAGAGGGTTGCTAGAACAGAAGTGGATATTTGTGGATGAAAAAAGGAAAGCATTTTTCGTGGACAAATGCAATGAAGCCCAGAGCCTATGGCCATAATGAGTAAAATACTAGCAATCTGAATTTGACAAGCTGATATGTCAAGTCCTAGATGCAGCCCTGTTGCTCTGTAGTCACCCCCCCCCCCCCCGCCCCGGGACTCTACCAAGGGAAATGTGTTTTTAGTAACATGAAACTGAACAGAGTCAACTCTCTAGTAAATGTAATAAGCAAGAACCAACATAAGATATTCTGAAGCACAAAGTATTTTTCAGTACACTCACTTAAAAACAGAATGATGGGACTTGGTATCCTGGTCCCAATATAATGAGAGTAGAAACTGAAGTGGGTGGTATCTCCTCAGGAGAGGTCCACACAGTGGAAGGAAGGTATGAGTTAGACTGGGGTCAGCTTCTGATTAAGACTGTGCTGTGTTTAACTGCAAAACCAACAATCCACAGGTAGACGGTGTCTACCAAGGCCAGCTACAGCTCTGGTCTTCCAAGGGTGAACATATCTCCACAACACAGGTTTGTTTAAGATGTACTTTTTTTTTCTAACAAAGAAAATGTTATGGAAATGCTACCATGATCATTTACACTTTTAAGTCACTATTAGAGTCTGCGTGGAGATGGCCACAGTCTGTCACAGTGTCACACAATCACATGTTACCTTGGATACAAGGCTGGCTCTGTATGCTGCTAGTTGCTTCAGGTACTCCTTCTTTGCAGCCTCGGTTTTCTTCTTATAGACCTGTGACAGCGCAGAAAGTCTTAAATTAGACCAGGCATTTGCTTTTGTTTTGAGGGACGGACAATACAGAATGGTAATTGTACACACATACAGATAATTTTATAATAATATATAGCTCCCAAAGAATGTGTTTTCTTCCTGAAACAGGTTTGAAAGAAGAAGGAGAATAGACTCTGTAAGAAAAGAATCAACAATTGCAAATTTTTGCATTTTTCAGAATGTGTATGAAAGGATCTGTGAGCATGGAAATAAACGGCAGCATTGATGAAGGCTTCCTGAGGAGCCTCGCCCAGGAATAAGACGCTCATATTTATACAGCAGGCAGTAACTCAACAACATAGTAATATTCTAACATTTGTGCTCCATGCGGAACACAAAGCTGAAATGGGATTCAAGGATGATATGTGCTTCTTAGTATGAAAATCAACAGACAGGTATTGGCAGTTGTGAGATCATCACAATTTTAAGAGCCTCTAAGTTATATTTCCAAGGATTTGGGAGTCAAGAATGGCAGGCAAGGGTACACTGGGACTGGAATGGGATGGTGAGTGGCTAGGGACACAACCTGTCACACTATGTGACATGCGCATCATGTACTTTGCAACAGGAACATGGTTGACACAGATGACAGCCGGGTAGACCTCATAAAAGTCATCTGCAATGAACAGATACTCATAGAGGCTTGAAAACCAAAGTAAAAGCAGTGGAAACTGGGACCTGAGAAGTGACCAGCCAGAGGTTACCGTGCTTTACTTAAAGAGGATACACTGGGGTATAAAGGGGTTCATCTTCTTCCCTGAGGCTGAGTTTTAAAGGTTCCGAAGTTCTGCAATCTTTTAAAATCAGCCTAAATGAACAAAATCCTCTTCAACATTTATCGTGGAAATGGAAATGTGTTCCCCCTGCTGTGACTGTTAGCCAGACTGAGGTTAATATTGAGAAGTGGTGTAGAATCTGTTGGGGCAGTTAAATAAGGATATGCCTAAGGCCAAGAAGCCTGCAGTAGAGGGCAACATTTACTTTCTAGAGACAGGGGTTTGCTGTGCCGGACTCTGAAATTTGACATGTGAGAAGTATTATTTACTCATGAATATTGTAACTCCAGCAGAGCATTTTGCCCAGGTAAACAAATAACTACACTTGCAGCTGAACTGTAACAAGACCTATGAAATGAATGTGATTATTCCCCTTAATAATAAGGAGGGGGAGGCCTGCAGCTTTGACTTTCCCATCTACAATTTTACATAGAAAAACTAATTAAAGCAAAGATGCATTAATCAGTGCAATATTATCATTTGGTCATCCCACTATCTTTACTAAATAAGAAATCAAAGAAGAGCAGGAATCCTATTTAGGAGTTTTCCTATTGCTTGCAATAAAATAGTTAATGTATCTTTTGATTGAAGCACAGGAGTGTCATAAATTTACAGGACTATTGCAGAATTCAAATCCAGAATCTTCTGCTGAAATTCTCATGTGACTACAAATGACTGCTAGAGTAAAGCATTTGAACATTATGACCCTGCTTGGTCCAGTCACATTTAGAAACAGAGCGCTTATGATCTTTATTGATTGAGTCCTTTTCTTTTCTGCGAGAGATTCCTCCTACTAGTTTTTCCTTAAGCCCATTTCTCCATGTGTAAATAATGGCTTTCAGCACACTCTTTAACTTATTACCTTAAAGCGGTTCTGAGGGGCTGGAGTGACAGCTCCGTGGTAAGAGTGCTTGCACACTAGCATGAGGGCTTGCTTTTGAATCTCCAGACTGGGAATTTCTCAGCATGTCTGTACATGCCTGTGACCCCCAGCATCATGGGGTAGAGACAGAGATCCTGACAGCAGAGCTTGCTGGCCCACTGGCCTAGCAGAAATGGCAAACTTCCTATTCAGAAAGAGACCTTGTCTCAAGACAATAAGGCAGACAGCAATAAAGGAAGAGGTGCAGAGTCCTTTTCTGAATTTTGCATGCATGCATAGGGGCATATGTGCCTACACACTCAAGTACATGCATGAAACACACACACACACACACACACACACACACACACACACACACACACACACACACGATGGTTTTGAGAGCTATTTTCTCCCATACATACAGACATCTTAGAAACTTTTGAGGAAAATATCTAGTAGACAAATCTTTGACACTTCCAAGTGTCCTAAATAATTATATCATTATTTCAATTAATATGCTATATTGTGTGTCCCATTAGCTAATTAGTATTCATTTAGTTTTTAGAGAGAATTATAACATATGTTGGTCTCTAGCCTTGCCCAAAGTATTGTTTCCTAAGTAGCAAAGGTAAGGTGGCATGATTCTAGCATTTCCTGTCTTTCTTTCATTTGGTTTCTATTAGAACCACAATAGTGTAAGCATCCAGCTAACATCACACAAAGTGTTATCATTCCTGCAATGTGTTGATTAACAACTCGGACAGAGAGGTGTGTAACTCCCCCACTTCAGGCTGAACCTACGGCGTGGTTCCACCCAGGATCGATACTGTTATGGGATACCTGACTAGCATTCAGAGATCCCTGTTTCACAAATGGCTCCCCATTGGCTATTGATGATGGGCTATGTTGGGATCACTGTGTAAGTGCCTAAACACCACTTTAGGGACATGTAAGCTCATCACTTCACATTATGTGGATTGATGGGTCCACATGCTCCCAAATAGCTGCAGATGTTTAGAGGGAGAATTCAAAGGGGGGTCATTTCAGGAAGTGTATTTCTATAATTGTGTTTAAGGGAGGGTAGCCCAGATCAGAGCGAAAATCTGAGGTTGTCTACCCAGTAATAATTAGACCCTCCACCTTCAAGAACTGCTTAATTGTTCCAATACTACACACTGTGTGTGCCTCTCTGATGCTGCTCTCTAAAACTGGACTAGGGTGCTGTTTGAGTCCTATATTAATGGAAATGTCCAAAGACCTCAAACCTAAGAGAATGATATTCATATATAAGAATTCAAAGGAAGTAGGGGAAATTCTTACTTTAGAACAAAAATTTCAAGATAACTGATAAAAAGTTCCTAAAAGATGTTTCAAAACTTCCAAGTTATGGATGGAGAAAGCCCTTTGTTTGCAGAAACCAAAGGGGTTGTGGGATTGCATTCAGCAGCGAGCAATCACCTCAGTGATCAAACGCACAGGCCTGACCTGTGAGGATGGATCTGATTTATTTCAAAGTTAAGTTTGAGAAAGACACAATTTCTCTCAGGAAAGACAAATATTTTAAAGGTATGTGATTCATACAGTAAATATTAGTGTTCTGCTGAGCTACAAAATGGCTTCCAAATGGGCCACAGCTGTTTGAAATAAAGTCCAAAGTTGGCCAGAAGTAGATTTAAAAATCATAATACATCATTTATCATTTCCCCAACTCATCCAAACACTTTTGAATTCATCCTGCCTTAACATAGTTATATGCTGTGGTTTGTTATTCCAAGAAAGCTACCATTTCCTATCTAAGGATTGCATCTTGTTGGTTAAACTAAAACATGTATAACAGCTAACCCAAAACACACATAGATAGACATCAGATATCAGTTCTGGAGAACCCAGATCCTTTTCACATGATTCTGTGACTCACCGAATGCTCTAAATACCATGGAGTATGTGTGTTTTTATAGGCTGATAATCCCTAATTAAAATCAGCAGTCCAATGTCAGTGAATATGACACACTTAAACAGAAAATTTTTTTATGCAATCTGTCAGTTCACTCTTGCATTCTTCTTCTACAAACAATCCCCCCAGCTAATGGAGAAAAGCAAAATCATATAAATACTAGCTAATTCCCTCTTCCTTCCTTCTTTCTGGCTCGGGCTCATAATCTCTAGTCAGTTTTCTTCAACAGTTGTTAGAGTCATAGAAGAAAAGGTGCAAAGTCCTTCTCACTTTGAATTCTACTCAAACCCCATTTAAAACTGACAAGGTGTTTTCCTTTTTGGATAAGTACAAATGTCTTTTTTTTCCCACTACCATTACTTATTTATAGAAAATGCTTAGCAACAGAATTATGTATGAATAAGAATAACTTCATCACACTCCCAAAGACACAGTTCAGAAACTTCTCGTGCATACCCCCTTTCAGGGATGCCATTGTTTAGGTCAGTTGGAGAAAACGCATCAGTCCTTTACACACAGCTTGGCCCTTAAATGTGGTTACCTTTCCATCTTGTCTAACTTGCTTACATTTTCTTAAGGATGCCTAACTGGAAAGACTTAAGGTAGTGTTCAGAGGATCGAAAAAAATTACAGGATGTGACAAAAATCTCGCTATTGATTCCTTCTGAAGATGGTGTGATACAACTGAAGGATCTTGGCCATGTTGACGTCACCTGTTCCCGACCGGTAGGGATCAGAAACAGGCAGTGTGGCTTTAGAGGTGGCTATAAAACATATCTGTTGATGTATCCAATGAAGATGACTAGCTGAATATCATGTTGTTCAGTTACTCTTAATCAATAGACTGGCTCCTATGCGCCTAATGCATTGTGAAGCATGAAGGGTGCAGAAACAAAATAGCATTTGAATTTATGCTTTGGTTATATATTTCTTGTTGTTGTTGTGATCAGGCACTTTCTTTTATACATCTTTAGTTCCTCCAACAAGAATGTTGCCTCGGTATTATTTTACAGAACAGGAAACACAGACACAGACACACACAGACACACACACACACACACACACACACACACAAAAGAAAAAAAAACAACAGTGAAATACGGCAGAATCAGGAGTGAATCAAAGTAATCTGGTGGCAGGCATCTATGTTTGCTCACTGTCTCCCCCTAGCCGTGAAAATATCCTCAGATACCTCTTGAAATTAGAAATTATGAGAGTCTCATGGCAGAAGCCCAGCATGCAGGATAGCATCTGATACATAATAGGTGCTCAGGAAACACAGCCAGATATCACCAAAAGATAGGACAGGATTCTGAGAAATGTGTCGGCAGGTGATACTGTTCCTGTGTTGACATAACAGGGTGCA